AAAGATTTAAATATTTTTATAAAAGATTTTTCTTTTTAATTTTTCTTTTTTTTTTGAGAAACTTTCTTGGTTTAAATGCTTGTAAAGTTCGGATTTGAATTAGAATTTGCAATATTGCTATATTAGTTTCATTTCCTCATTAGCAAATCTTATCAAATGTATACTGTATTGCACAATTAGGCAAAACTCTTGCAATAACCGACTAGCAACTATCAACATTTATGTATACTGTACTATGCAATTCATATTTTTACAGTAGCTGATTAGCAACTATCAGTATGTATATACTGTACTATACAACTCGGATTTTTGCAACAACTGATTAGCACTCATCACCACATAAATACTGTATCATATAGCTCATATTTTTACAGTAACTAGTTAGCAACCATCAGCATATATATACTATATTATATGGTTAAGATTGTTACAGTAACTGGGTTAGCATTCATCAACTATGTATATTGTACTATACAACTGAACGTACCTACAGAAGTAGCTAATTAGCAACCATCAGTGTATGTATTTTGTACTAAGGTCTTTACACTAACTGATTGGCAATCATCCACATATACTACCATATTGTGCAATTGAACTGATTATATATATACTGTACTATACAGTTGATATTATATACGACAAATATGTCAATATTGTTTATCGGGTTTTTATTTTTTTGCTGCTATGTTAGATAAGATGGATAATTTAATTTGTCTACTGTAGAAGAAGAATTCTCATTTCATCTGATATTACCTTTACCTTCCTTCTCTATCACTGATAATAATTTTAACGATAATAATCTTAATGGCAATAAATCTTGCTTTTTTTTCCTCTCTCCACTTCAAGCTATATAAATTCAACAAAAAAAAAAAAAAAAAACGAATTTATATAATCAATCATATTTCCTTATCATTTCCATATCTTATCATTCATTCTTTAATCCCATCCATTCTAATAATATCAATCATTAGAATATGATAAGAGAAAATTGCCCAAATATTAGTTGTATTAGCTTAGTATCGAGTGAGATAAATATTAGCATTTAATAATTTTTAGAAATTTTGTTTTTTAATTTCATGTTAATTAACCGGTCAGTGCATCTCTTGTAATTAATTACTTAATTAATTTAAATAAATGAAGATATAAACATAATATAATATGAGAATGATATTAATGAGATATATTTTAGTGATTCTTTTTTCTCTTTTCATTTTTTTCTTTTTCTATATTTATATCGATACGTTTACTTATATCATATATCCATCTACCTATATATTATACATTACCTGTACCCATCAATATTTATATCTATCTATATATTATACATTACCTGTACCTATCAATATTTATTTATCCATTACCTCTACCTATCAATATTCATTCATTCACCTATTATCTATACTTATTAATATTCATTTACCTATATTACCTCTCTCTATCAATATTTATTCACCCATTATCTGTACTTATTAATATTTGTTTACCTATTACCTCTACTTATCAATATTTATGTACCCATTACCTATACCTATCGATACTCATTACTTCTACCTATGAATATTTATTTATCCATTACCTCTATCTCTATCAATATCCATTTATCCATTATATCTTTATTTTCAAATTCATATATTCATATTTATTATTAATTACATTTACCTGTAATTTTATTGCGTTTTTTTTCTTTTTTTGTCTTATTCTATGCTCTTTTATGTTATCATTTAATACATCAAAGATTACTTTTACTTCTTTTTGCATATTTTTGTTCTCTCATTTGCTAAATGATATTTTGTCATATTTTTTCTTTAAATATTTGTATTATTATTTTATTTCCTTTCACAATTTTTAACAATTTTCCACTATCTGATCACCCTTTTGTCCTTTCTTTCTTTCTCTCTTACCCTTTTCCCTCTCTCTCTCTTCCCATTTTTTCTCTTTTCATATTTCCTTATCGTTGTTTTTTTTTCTTCACAAAATATTAAAGAAAAAAAAAAGAAATTTTCTTTTTTTCCCTCATAAACATATATTTCTATCTTTTCATACATTTATTTCTTGATAAATTTCAGCTTTTCATTCATTTTATTCAAATTTTAATTTAAATTTCACTGGCATTTCTTTCTTTTCCTTTTCCTTCTGTTTCTTTTCTTTTCTTTTTTCAGTTAGAATATACTCGTATGAATTTTAGTTTTAATTAATCTGTCTTTTTTATCTTTTGTCATTTCTAAAATTTGCATCTTTTATTTTTTGAATTTTTTTAATATATTAATTAAATTTAAAAAAAAAAAATTATATTAAATTCTAGAAAAGATTGCACCATTATCGTTTAACTTTTATTGTTTGTAATTTAAAATATGCATAATTCATATACAATTATATTTATATGTTGGTATTTATTTTGTTTATTATTTATTTATTTATTTGTTTATTTGCTTTTATTTACTTATTTGTTTATTTATTTATTTATTCGTTTACTTATTTATTTATTTATTAATATCATGAACATTAGTAAATTAAATAGCTTATATTTCGTTTATTTCATTTTGTGAATTTTGGGAAATTTTTGAAATATCAAATATTGCATATTTTTCTTTCTCTTTTTTTTTCAGTGCCGAAAATAATTGGGCCAATAATTTAATTCAATTACTATGTTTCTAACAACGTGTGCAATTCTTCTCTAAATTATTCTCATTAAAAAAAGAGAAGAAGAAACTTGGAAAGAAAGAAGAGAAAAAATTAGCCGAATGAATGCAAGTGATGTAATTTTACACAATGAAACAAATGTGCCATCAACATCAAAGGTGTCATCTACAACAGGTAAAATAATTGACATTTAATTTTCGTTAAAATTTTTAATTTTTATTCATCATTACTATTTTTGAAATAATTGATTTCGTTTTTTATCTTATATTCAACATGATATCATTCCAGAATATGATATATTACGAATGATTAATTAATGATATTAAGTTAATAAACATGAATGGTATTGCAAATATTGAATAATATTTTGAATAATGATATGATAATCAATGAATTATGATAAGTTATGAATGTAATGGCATTAATAAATGATAAAATATGATATGATATTGATAAGTAAATGTTTATAGATGAAATGGATTATATATTGGGTGAAAATTTTCGGCTTGATGCTAAACATTTAAATCGTGTTCATGAAGAATTGGAAAAATTGAATATTGCAACAGATGTAATTAATAAATTAGAATTACAACTTGATGAAGCAAGAGCTACCTTTAGGTACCTTTTGAAATTATTTAAACTTGTACAGCTTTTATAGATTCTCATACTTTTGCACTGTGTCACATCATTGTATCCTATTGATATTTTATGAAATTATTTATAGGAAAAAGCAAAAAAAAAAAAGAAAAAAAACCGAAAAATAAAAGATTGAGATTAAAATTTTCGCACTCCTTTATTCAATTCGTAATATGTTTATTAACTGTGCTAATTATGTTGGTACTAATTTTATTTCCAGGAAAATTCAAGCTTCTTGGTCTGAAAAATTGAACGAATTAAGTCGTAAATATGGTTCAGCAATTGCTAAAGGTCGACCATATTATGAAGCAAAGCTTAAGGTAAATTTTTAGCTTAAGATAAATTTAGCTTTTTGTTATTTTTTTTTTCAACTATATTTATCTGTGTATTATAATGAAAGATATCATAGGTTTAAAAAGCTATGAAACAATTCATATTTATGCTACTATACGTTTGGATAATCATTCTTTTTTTTCCCTTGTAAATGTAGTATTTTTTGCATAATATTATTGATTGATAGTAGGAAAAAAATCAATTTATTAAGTAAAGCAATAAACAGAAAGGTTTTCGATTGAAAAGTTGGCTATGAAATTCTATTTTTCAACATAAAAATGTATTAAATGTATTTTAAAATGGATAACCTTGCATTGAAATTTATTTTTAATTTATCAGCTGATAAAAGAATAGACTCTACCGGATATTCGAATAGCTGGATGAGAAATTATGTAACTTATCTGTTGTAGCAGACTACATGAGAATAAGTTTATCAACCGTTCAGTAAATCTAATGATGAAAACATTTTTAATTCCATGATAGTCAATTATTAATTGACATGAAATGGCAGAATTTCACGGCGCTAAAAAAAAAAATCTCATATTCGATATGATTTAATCGTAGAACATAATAAGTCAAACATTGAGTGCAATAATTATTACCAATTCAATTAGCAATATTAATAATCGTTTGATTATTAGATACGGTGTAGTTTGATGGTACTAAATATATTTCAGTATTATGTGGTATATGATAAGCTTTTTATGCGGACAGTAATTGCATATTGAGGAAATTAAAACGATTAGTGCTAAAAATCAATAATAGTTTAACTAGTTACATAGTAATATTAAGTTTTTGTCCAGGAATTTTAAGGAAGGAAAATGAGACTTTGTAATTCATAGAATTCTTTTTCTTTTTGAAGGAGAGACGATTACGTGAAGAAGCGCAAAATGCTGCAATACGCTTCGAGCGTGCCAATTCGATGCATGCAGTAGCAAAGCAACAAGTGAAATTAACACAAGATAGTTTAAATCGGCAACGAATTATTGAACCAGAATGCTTAGAGGTTGAAATAGTTCACCTATATTTATTCGTTGCTTGTACTTCTTGTATTGCCATTTTTATGTTACCAAATTTATTTATTCATTCTTGCTGATGTCACTAATATTGTTAGATCAATTTATAATATTTTGTCTAACCAAAATAACTAAAAGTGCATGTCACTGTTAGAACTAAGCGGCAAGTTAGCTCTTCCAAAACTTTGCTTTCAAATTTTTAAGGAATCTGTAAATATATGTGTATTTTTTTGATTCCAAAAAGTGCATATAACTGTAATCATTATTCAAGAATGGGATTAGTAAACTAATTATTTTGCAGGTGTTAAACCATCATATCCAACGTGTAAACGAAGCGGAACAAGAACGTATAGCGGCTGAAGAAGTGCATCGTTCAATATCGGAACATATGACACAGTTAACAAAAGAAATTGCACAAATGCTAGATGGAAATGCTCGATCTATTAAGAAAAGCCGACGTTATTTTGAGCAACGCATCGAATTTACAAGAATTTTGGAACATCAAAAAAGTCTCATTCTGAAACTTGAATCGGAGGTTGGTTATGACAATTGGTTATGACAGTTTTTTTTCCCAGATTTTATTTGCAAAGTATTTTTGGATCCTACAGTGAGGAAATTTGGTTATTTTCAATAATGCTAATGATTTTAAAGGTGCGTCAGAAAAAGTATGATTATACATCATCGTTGAGAAATTTGGAACAGATATCAGATGCTATACATGAAGAGAGAAGCGTATGCTTTTTTTAAAACTTTTCTAAGGAATAAATACTGCCAATTGTATCTTAATAGTAAGAATAAATTTACTAGTGTGAGTGTGAATTTACTCAATGCAAGATTTTAATGATGCTTTATTGATTGAAATATTTTAGTGGTAAAATACTGTGATAATGATGGTTATCATTTTGCAGTAATGATGGTTGTTAGTTCTAATACTTGAGTAATGTCTTAGCGGTGATAATTATGTGCTTGTTATTTGTAAGACTTTTTATTTAACTGCACTATTATCTTTCGCATAATGTTTAATAATGGTTGGTAATAGATGGTAGTAATTGATAAATATTATGTTTTATTTTGCGCTCTATCTTTTATAGTTGTCAAGTGTACGACGTGAACCTGGCGTTGGTTGCGAATCACCGGACTTACCATCTTGTGAAGTAGCATTCAATAAAGAGAAAGCACAGCGTCGAGTTGAAGAAGAGGAGGAAAGAAAGCGTAAAGCAGATATAGCAAATACTGTTGCCCTCGAAGGGATTAAAGTGGCTTTTGACCAAGTACGTTTTTTATTTGCTTATTTGTTTCGTAGTGATGGAATAAAAATTAATTTTTTTTAATGGGAAAATTGGTTTTACATAAAACATACTTCCGGAAACCATTACTGGAAGTGATGTAACTCGCGTAATGTTACAATGGCGGCTTTTTTCTGACTTATCATTAGAAGGGAAGAAATGCATTTATGACTTTTATGATGTGAAATATCGCCCTAATAGCATTTTTTCATCAGCATTTATTGCTTTTCAGCTTACTTTGGATTGCGAAAAAACAGTCGATCCTGCTCTGTTTGATGAATCACCTGAAGGAGCAGATTCAGGATCAGTTAAAGATGGAACTCTTGGTTCTGGTGTTATATTACTTGCGCAACAGTTGATTCTTAGTCAGGGTAAATCGAAACAAAATAAAAACATTAGGTAAACTACATTCGAATTCATATGCAGTACACTAAGATTAACTATTGTCTTTTATCACTTGTTTAAGTGTGGATTTTTTTTAGGCGCCACTTTTATCTCCTTTTCTGTCTGCCTATCCTTGTAAATATTTTTTCTGAACTGGTATGGTATACTAGTTTCGGAGATGTTATTAATGATAAATATTTAGGTTGTCAACAGATTTAACTGATTTTCGTTATCGCACCGAATTGCCCGAGGGTGCAGCTGCAACAGTAACAATTTCTTCACCAGATGGCAATGATAGCGATAGCTCAATGGAAAGCAACCATACGGGAATAACGATGAACACGGATGATTTGTCAGGAATGCTTCGAAGCCATTCTCAAATGATTGAAGTAAATTGTATGACATATCATTTTGCTATAATGAAAAAACGAAAGCAGTAGTCGTATGTGGATGAGAATTATGAAATAAATTGCAACTTACCAAATTTTTTGATTAAATTTAATATGCAACTTTTCTGTTAACTGCTCCCTAGCTTCTTCAACATCTAACTTTGGTTTAATTTTGGCTTAATTTTCTGGTTAGAACTTTTTTCTTAATTTTTCTAGTCGTAAAATGAGGTAATTTTCAAAGTTCATTTAATGTACTTTATTTGCTTGGTAACAGCAACAACAAGAAAATAAAGGGATATTTCTACTTCTATATAATGCTCATCTCTAGCACTAATTACTTTTTATTACAAAAAAAAAAAGAGAGGAGGATGAGTGATATACAATTCGTGATATTAAACGATATTTGATATTTCAATATGCTCTGGTAGTTATCTTTCATAATACTGGCGTATTTGCAAAAAAAAAAGAAAAAAAATGAAAATAATATTTAAAGGAAAAAAAATGGAAATGATATTTGTCGGGTCTATAATTAATTAATAATCCAATAAAGAAGTTATTTATTTTTCAGGAAATTGATGAATGTGCTCAGCGTACTGAAACCATATTGCATAATAATTTGAATGTTATTCGTCGAGCTGGAAATGATGATGTGGAGCGTGATAGCGGTCATAGTTCATCGAGTTACTAGTCATTTTTTATATTTCTCTATTTCTCCTTCATAATTACTGTGTCCTTTTCTTTTCCAATATTAGAATTATTTTATGAATGTTAGGAACAACTAAGTTTATTCGTATATCATCGAATATTATCTCTTATAATATATTTATGATTTTGTTGAAAAACATTATGGCAAGCATCATATTAACTAAGCAAAAGAGTAAAGCAAATTGACAGTACAACTGTTCTTACATCTTTTTTACGTTTTGCCACGTTTGGATAACCTCTACTCAAACGTTTTTACATTTTTGCGTATTATGCGGGTAGTTGAAATTGTTGAGTATTCCATCTACTTAGATTTGTTTTACATCCTTATGCTTTCTATCTTTTGTATGATTTGCGTGTGTATGCAGTCCTTGCGAACCGTTTAATTACCTTCATATTGTTTTACAGATATATTGTATCAAGTGATTTCGTTCCTGGCGATACTTAAACATTAACATGTCCAGGTTTGTATTACCTTTTCGTTCTTGTTGAATGATGGATAGATATGATCAATTTCGAAAACAGTAAAGGTGGATGCTTCAAAATATTCCTAAAGAGAAGGAATTCGGTTTTCTGAAATATAGAATATTGATTTTCATCATTCGATCATTCATTAAATCATGAATTTTATGCATATTTCGGTGCATTATATGTTTTCTATTATATTTTTGTAAAATCTTTCACATTCAAATGTGTAATATTCAGTTTGCTTGCTGTGATCGTTTGAATATTTAAAGGATTATTGGAAAATTTTCAATCATTTCAAAAAATTTTTTACTGTATGAGAAATATCATTAGGTCATTTTGAAAAGTAACAAGAAGTAAGTGTACTAAGCAAGCATAAAACAAATTACATCCAGTAAATTCTAAGTTCAATAAGTTTTTCACCAAGTTTTTTCTCAGTAAGTTTTTCTAAGCTCAGTAAGTTTATTCTCGAGGGTATTTAATTTTTTTAACAATAATTGATGTTGAAGATGAAATTTTTGAAGAGATTTATTCAAACAACAAATCAGAAATTTACGAAAATTAAGTATTTATGAATAAATACGAGAATAATTGCCAATAATTGTTGAAGAGAATGACATATTCATCTAATTTTGTTCAATTTTATCGATTTTAATACAATTCAATTTATTTCATTCAACGCTTTAATAACAATCATTTATATTTCTTTGCTAATGAAAACAATTAACAAGTTTCAATCTACGAAATAGTTAGGGAAATATCATTGAGCAGATGGTAATTAGACATGAATTCCCTAATAACTTTTTGAAGTAATCATGATTTATATTCATTATTTTTTTTCTACCTTTCATTATTTCAAAGTTAATGCAAAATATTTGTTTAGATGTGATATGTTATCCAAAATATTTTGTAGATGTATGAACATATTCTTTGCTATGCATACGTTTATGTTAAATTACATAAATAACATTATTTTAATGAAGTAATCTATCAATTTATGCTGATAAAATCATCCCATTGCATTGGTTATTTTAAACTTTTTACGTTTAACGTATCAACATTAAATAGCAATATTATTTATTAAAATGATATAAGAAATGGTATTTAAATGGATAAATTATGGAAATGATAATAACTCAGTGCATCACTTCCATTTTCGGGAACGTATAATACGTGAAGGTAATTCAAGCTATACGTTAATGGTTGTCTTATGTAATTTGTGTTCTTATGTAAGTGGTACGTCGAGATCTAAAGAAATTTTGAAAAAGTACATGAATCAATTTGTATCGGATTTAAGTGACGTGAAGTTGTGGTACATAAATAATGTGAAATTGTACGTAAGTGGCGTGGTGGAGTTATGACACATAAGTGACGTGAAGCTTGTTCTTTTTTTCGGCCAGTGTTTCTATCACGGAAAACGTACGAATATTTTGGAAGGCAGAAACGATGTTGAATAATTTCAGATATGATGACATGCTGTTGAGACGTGAAATAATACCGCAAAATTTTGTTTTACAATGGCAGTGTTGTTGAGTGGAAGTAAGGTGGTGTCATTAGTGGCTAAAAGTGGTTCCGAATTTACGAAACGTAGTATTGCTAGGATACCACATTGGGAATATCATATCAGGTATGTCAGGAATTTTCACATTATCTGTATTAGGATTAAGCAGTTAATTACAACATATCATGTACTGTGTTTGGTAATTCTTATGGGAGAAACATTAAAGTTGCATTGTTCATAAATCTTAACATGTAAACGTTTAAAAATTTGCATGTTTTTTGTATGATAATGGCACCGTATTCTATATTTAACAAGTTTTTTTTTTTAGTAATATTTTTTAGCTTCATTTATTGCGATTTTCCCTTGGTTTACTTAATTCTATTATAATTCTAGATTTGATCCAAAAGAAGGGCGCAAAAGACCATGTCAAGATGTACTGGATCGTTTTAAGCGACTTAATAACGGTATGTGGATACGTGCACAAATGGGAAGAAATGTAAAACGTTACAGGAAAGATGAGACCTTTTTAAAGGTTAATTTCTTAAATTATTATTTCTCTTTTTGACAGTCAAACATTTACCAATCAAAAACTTCGAGTTATTACATTTGTGATTGAAGACACTACTCTGAATATCTGAATGATTATAATGATTCTAGTTCGAATGAATTTGAAGAGAATTTTCAATATTGTGAAAATATTTTACTACTTTATTTTAATATTTTTTGTTTGGTTGAGAATGGATATTTGTAAAAATAGTTCTGAATCTAAAATCTCGTACCAACACAAGAGTGTTGTCCTACTGTTACATTTTGCTCTTGTCAAAACTTAATAAATTATGCAAATATTTATAGTAATTTTAGACAAGTTACTATTATGAAACGTGTACAAAAGAGGAATGCTGGATGCTGGATCGTATGATGACACCGTTTTGGTTACGACCAAAATATTATATTGATGATCCTTATGAGGTTATAATTCCTTTAATTTAATTTTGTGAAATATTAAATTAAAAAAAAATACAAAATATAGTTTGAATCATTTTATTGCAGCCTTACAATGTACGACATGGAATTAAATCACCAAGAATTGGTTTGAATGGTAAATTTGCAAGAGAACGTCAAAAAATTTTGCTAGAAGATAGTATTGCTGATCGTTACTTTCACGATCGTTAGAGTGATTTCAAATAATATCAATCACATAGCTGGATGAGGTTTTTTTATCGTTTTGAAAATTAAGCATTGGTGCTATTTTACCTCTTATTGCTATTACTACATTATTAACATATTGTTTAGTAAAATATACGATTATGAACAGTTGAGATTTATATTATCATTATTAAAAGTTAATTGTGATCATTATCATGCATATACTATATGATGCACATATTGCTAAAAAATCCATCTATCGACCCGATTTCTTAGACTTTTTCTTGAAACTCCTTCTGAAGCTGCAATGGGAAAATGGAAGAATAAAAGTTCAGATAAATAATTTGTTCTTGTATATATAAAGATTAGCAATTGAAAAATGTTTTACTCATTAGTACCACTTAATTATTCAAGTATAGCATGCGTATACATACATATGCAGGGATATTTCATTTGGCATACAAAACACAGTAATATGAAGTATTTCTAAAATAAACATTGCTAACTGATAGCTAATTATCCTATCACTCCTAATATTTCCACTTGAAACTGTCCGTTATTCAGCAATAATATCAATACAGTGTAGGATTTTTGTGAAATTTATTTGTGGTACTTACCTTTTTCTCGATCTTGGCACTGGTTTATTACCAGAAATTGTCAAAGCTTTTGGACTGTAATAATTATTTTGCATATTCTTATACATTGGTATTGGCATACTAACAGTAGCATGAGTTTGTTTATCACTAGTATCATTTCTAAAAAAAAAAAAGAAAGAAAATTAACATACAAACATAAAAGAAATGCATATTTTCTTTTTTTCCAAAATTTTAATGCTTTCAGAAAGTATTACTGTTAAAAAATAGGTAAGAATTGATAAGTTATACAGAGATCAGAGACAGATAAAGTAACGAATGTATACTTACTGTCCGGTTAATTTCCTCATTACAGATGCTACAGTAAACATCGTTGGCCGTTTACTCATATCCGTATTCCATGCTTGTTTACAAAGTTCTTGAAGTATAACTGGTGCTGCGGAAGGTATGGATAGTCGGCTACCTTTTAGAACCTGTAATGAAAATATAAAATAATATCTTGAAATAAAATAAGAATATATAATCTTATTAAAATATATCATTTAATAAGAATATTGAAGAAAGAAAGAAATGAAACAAAACGAATTGATTGAGCAAAATAACTATTTGAAAATTTTAAAATTTGTTTAGTGAATTTAATGGATTTAAATGGTTTTAAAAAATTTAAATATTATATCATTTATAAGTGACAATAATTTCAGCAATAAATTCATACTTCAATTTTAACACGTGCTCGATCCCAACCTGTATATGGTTCCACAGCATTATTGAAAATCTCCCAGACCATAATAAAAAAAGACCATGTTTCAGAAGGGAATGAATAGACTAGCGTACGGAATACCTCAAATTTAATAGTTTATTTACTAAAAATTTACATATTCAATCCAAACTTATTAATCCTTCTTCAATTGTAATCATTGAAGGAAGAATAAAAAAACTTCGAATTTAATTTCTTCCTTAACTTTTTTAATTAATAACTTCTTCAGAGCACTAAAGGAAGAATTTAAAAAAAAAAGTCAGTAATTGATTTAGGATCAATGTATCAATTTTGATTTAAAAGAAAAAAAATTAAGTAAGATAATAGCAAACTTAAATTTTACAAATTTACGGCAAAAAAAAATTGCAAACTTGAAATTTTTAAAAATTTAAAATAAAATTTACCTCAGGTGCAATCCATCGAACAGGTGCTTTATCAGTTGGTAGTAATTTATGTTGAGGTCCATAAACAGACATACCAAAATCGCTTAATTTTACTGTTTCACCTGTATATAAGCAATTACGAGTTGCCAAATCTCTGAACAAAAAAAAAAAAAAAAGTAAAGAAGAAAAATTTGAATTGTCAAAATTTTATCTTTGTTATTCTCGTAAATTTTATCAGTGATAGTAATAAGATGGTACAACCTGTGATATGATGATCAAAGATTATTTTGCTAAAAAGTAACTAACTGACAATCAATATATTATTTTATCAAAAGCTATCGAAAAATTTTTTTTTTTTGAAAAAGTTTTCGCTTCTTGCGTTGATTCCGTTTAATCATTTAGTTCTAATTAATTAATTACTAGGTTTTCATATTACAAATAAATGTTATGTACATGAAATAGGTCTTACTGGAAAGAAATGAAATGAAAGAAAATTTGAAATTTAATAAATGAATAAATAATTTTAATTAAGTAATCTTTTTAAATCAAAGTTTTAGTATAAAACAATTGTATATGGAAATAATAATTAAGTGTTATTTTTGAAAGAAATGATTTTATAAAAATTAAAAATTAAACTATCATTAGCTATGAAAATTAATCCAATTAATAAAACATTGAAATGGATCAGTGCATTTGTAATTGTAAAGTTAAGAAGAAGAAGAAAAAGAAGCCTAGACCTATGCATAATATTTTGGCCATGTAAATATGCTAGGCCAAATGCAGCATCACGTATCATTAATAGTTTGATTTTCATTGGAAGATTATTACCATTTTTTTTAAGAAATGTATCCAATGCACCTTCCTAAATGAAATATTCGAAAATTTAAAATAGATAAAATTGAAATTGGTTCAAATTAAAATTATCATTTCCAAAATTTCGAAAAAAGAAAAGGATAGAAAAGTAACATCATATCGTGTAAAAGATTATAATATGAAATGGAAATGTATTATAAATTTTGGTATTAAAATTGAAATTATTAATTAAATTTGAAATATTGTTACTTTGACAAGTTCCATAATGAGCATTAAAGGTTCTCGTCTATTAGCAACACCATAAAATCGAACGATATTTTCATGTCGTAAATTTCGTAACATTCGAACTTCACACATCGCTTCTCGTACTTTTTCTTTTGTCATCGTATCACATTTAAGCTTACAGTAAGAAAAAATATATATTTATTTGTTTAATTGTCCATTCATTTATTTCATTGTTTATTTATTTGCTTATTTATTTATTTATTTGTTTATTTATTTATTTATTTATTTTACTTTTTGTTTGTTTATTTATTTATTGATTTATTTATTGATTGATTGATTGATTTATTTATTTATTAATCTGGTAATCAACTTATCTAACATTTCTGATAATTAATTACTTAACTGAACCAAAGTAAAAGATAAATCAAATGTAAGTGTTAGTAGTTTGCAAGATAGTTTGTAAGATAGCTTAATTATATAAATTAGTGAAAAATATTGCAAATTTCATGATAACAATAAATTAATCAATTTGAAAATACTATTAAAATTATTAAAATTTAAAATATTTCTAAAGGAATAAATGAAAATTTTAAATTTGTTCAAATACATTCATTATTAGCATACAACTTTAACAGCAGCTTTGACACGAAATCGAGGTGTAAGCGCAAGATTAGCTGAATGAACTTCACCAAATGCGCCTTCACCAAGTTTTTGAAGAAGTTCCACTTGTTGATGCTTCAATTCCCATGGCTGAACAAGGTAAATATGAAAACAAAGATGTTTGTTTACGTTTTATTCAGGAAAATTACACGTACGTCTTTACGTACGTATTGATATGCATTAACTTTTTATATCCTTTTTACTTTGTAAAAATATGAAATGAATAAAATGATATCAATAAATATTACAATAAGATACTTTCGCTATGATTGATATCTTATCATTATAGATAAGAAACTAATCATTAGCATAATAAGTGAATGAATTAAGTAAAAAAGTGGAATTTGCTAATAAAAAAGAATCGTAATATTCTATAAGAAAGAATCGTAATACTCTATAAGAAAGAATCGTAATACTCTATAAGAAAGAATCGTAATACTCTATAAGAAAGAATCGTAATACTCCACAAATAATAAATAATAAATATTATCAGGAATAATGATAATCAATAAAAATACATACTTGTGTAATGATTGGATTCTTTAATAATACACGTTCTTTTAGTACTTTAAATTTATGTTGAGCATAATAATTAACCAAATCGGTAATTGTAGGAAATGTATGATTAGCTTTCATTCCATATTGATTCTTTGATTTATCATAATGTAAAATGATATGATGTTTACCACGCCATGCAACTGATAAGCATAGCTTAAAGAAGTGATAACATTAAACTAATGATATGATATAACTTCAATTACAAAAAAAAAAAAAAACGAAAAGAAAAAACATAAAAAAACTATTTTTTTTTTACAAAAAAAAGAAGGAATAATTGATTAGAAATGAACATTTATAAGTGAAAGTGTTGTGTGATTCCTAAAATAAATATTTTAATATACTGGAACTAATAATTGTTCATTTACATACTAAATGCTCTTGATTAATTATTTTATGATAATTTGATAAATTCTTCCATGATAACTTAAGAAATTCAGTGATAAAATGATGGATCATATAATAACATGATAAATTTTTTAATAACTTGATAAATTTTGTGATAACATGATAAATTATATAATAACATGATAAATTATGTGATAGCATGATAACTTCTAAGATAATGTGATAAATTCCATGATAACTTGGCAAATTCTATGATAACATGACAAATTTATGCAGTAATATGAGAAATTCTGTGATAGCATGATAAATTTTGTGATAATTATAACAAATTACATAAATGATGTGATAAATTTTATGTTAATATGATAAATTTTATGATAATTTGATAAATTCTAGTATAATTTAATAAATTTTATAATAATTTAGTGTACAAAATATTCTTGTATGTTTCTGATAATTAGCTAAAAATGAATGGATTATTCATGAAACTTTTACTATGTGTTCTCTTCAAGGATGAAATTCAAAAAAGATCGAAAAAAAAAAGTTCTTAAAAATTAAATAAGCCATATTTTAGGAGGTCAGAATTGAGTGAAAAAAAAATAGGTAAAACTTGAATCGAGCAAGTATTAAAATCAAATTTCGAATTTAAATCCTTCTTAAGAGAATAAATCAAAATTCTGGAATTATTCTTTTCGATCAAATTTTTACTCTTCTATCGGATTACTTATGGTGCTATTATACATTTAATTAATTTAAGTAATTTTATCTATTTTTAATCTCCCTGACAATTTTCATTTCCATTTCTTACTTTTAATTTATATTATTTATAAAATTAATGCAAAATTCGTTTAACAATTAGAAAACGTCACAGGTAATTCATCCTACTATGATAATTTTGCTAATTCTGTGATAACATGATAATTTTCAGGGTAGGAATGATGATAAATTCTACGACTACTTGATATATTCTGTGATAACACGACAAAATTCTTTGTGATAATCTGACAAAATTCTATATGCCCAATAGAAGAATCTATCTTTATAAAATATTCGAAAAATTCTATCTTATCAATTTTACGTTCGAAGAATTTTATTTGAAAAAAAAAAAAAAGTTCAGAGAATTTTATAAAATATCCGTCAGGATATTCCTAATGATAATTATCATTGAAATATTTTATCACCTTACGATCTTCACCAGACGAAACTTCGGTAGTTCGTAGTAAAAAGTCACCATCAAGTACGCAGAGCGTATTTGCATCTTCACGAGGCAAAAATCTACAAAATATATTTCAGATAAAGCATAAATTGTAAACATAAATGATTGATAACATAAATATTACGGTTATAATTAAAAATATCAAATAGTGACACATACAATTTTAACATAATTATCTTGAAAATTTTTTAAATTATTAAATAAGAATTGAAAGAAAAAAAAAGTAAAAAATAAAAAGGATGAACCCATGAAAGTAATCATCTTCATCATCACCAGTGAATGTTGACGGAATGCTAGTTCCGAAACCGGAAACAACTTTAGGTATTTTTAAAGTAATTTTTGATACGGTTTCACTTGGTTTTATTACCGGAATTTTTATTGCCATAGATTTTGTTACCGGTGCTTTTATTGATGGAGATGGTTTTGTTATCGGAGGAGATTTTACTATTACAGTCTTTGTTAAGGAAGATTTTGTTGTTGAAGGTGTTGGTGGTGTTATTTGAATGATTTTTGGTGATGTTTGAACTGATGGTGATCCATGACTTGACGTTGATGACGCTAATAATTGACTGTCATCTTTGTCAACTTGTTGCTCTTTTACATCTTGTTGAATTATACTTGCCGTTGACATAATTGCCTCAGTCTTATCACCTTCCTGAACACTACCCTCATTGGATATTTGCACTTCCGTGGTCTCATTTGGTTTCACTTCTCCTTCAGATGATTCAACCAATTTTTCGTTGGATTCAATTTCTTCCACCTAAAAAAGAAAAAGAAAAACCCCAACTTATGCTGTAAATGTTTAAAATATGTAAATAAATCAGTCATATGATAAGGTTGATAGATTTAATAGTTGATAAGGCCAATAATTGATGAGTTCAATGGTTGATAAGCTTAGCAGTTGATAATTTTAATAGTTGATAAATTCAATGATTGGTAAATTTAGTAGTTGATAAGTTAAATAATTGATAAGTTTAATAATTGATGAGCTTAATAGTTGATAAGTTTGGTGGTTGGTAAGTTTAATAATTGATAGACTTAATAGTTGATAAGTTTAGTAACTGATAAGTTTAATGGTTGATAAGTTTAACATTCAATAAGCTTAGCAATTGATAAATTTAGTAATTGATAAATTTAATGGTTGATAAATATAATAGTTGATAAGTTGAATAATTGATAAGTTTAATGATTGATAAGTTTGATAGTTGGTAAATTTAGTGGTTGGTAAGTTTAACAGTTAATAAATTTAATCATTGGTAAATTTAATAGTTTGTAAGTTTAATAGTTAATAAATTTATTATCATTTCTAAACATTATGCATTGTTATATAAGAAAATCTTCATTAGCAAAATTAAGAAATGATAAGATAAACAAACATTTTCTATAGAGACAATACTTGGCTGTGTAATATCTTCTTTTTCAGTACTAGCTGAATCCAACTTTTCCTCATCATTTCCATTATTTGATTGTTCCAATTGTATGGTATCCTAAATAAAATTATCATATTTAAAGATGTATAATTTATCCATTTCATATTTTTAATAAGCAAAACTTTACTTTTCTTAACAATCATTCTTTATCGAAAAGAAAAAGAAAGAAACTTTTTGCTAATTTATTTACTTTTTCATCAGTTTTTTAAATTATTAAAATTTCTTCTTTTGTAAAACTTTACACAATCAATTTTTTGATATCTCTCTCAAATGATAAAAAATGACTTCGAAAAAAAAAAGAAGAAATCATCTAGAACGAATGCATGTAATGGAAATTTAATATAAAATCGAAATACTATTTACAGAAATTGTTAATTATCAATGGAAAAAAAAAGATGAAATCGTTAATTATTAATTAAACATGATAAAAAATTAATAGAATGAATTAAATGAAATTCAACACTCAAATCTTAACATTATTAAGGAAGATTTATGTGATGACTAATTGTTTTGGTTTAGTTCAAATAATATGACCTAGTAATAAATGTACTTCCTAGTTTATTTTCAATATTTTTTTGCAAAATTGTACACACAATTTTTTTTCTCTCTTTTGTAAGTTAATTTAACAATTAATTAATTACAAATCATATATACCCATCTACCTTGTAATTCTTCTAAAATTAAATTAAAAATTTTGTTTGTATTATTTGAAAGAAGATGGAGAAAAAAAAAAGTGCAAACTGATAAACAACTGATTAAATGATTCGTTATTAATTACTTCTATAATTGTCCAGTAAAGTGACAATAAATAAGTGTTACAATTAAATAAATAGAATAAATGAATGAAATTTAAAATATCCTTCCTAACAATAAAATGTTTCAATAAAAATCTTCAAATGGATGATAAATTTGAAAAAAATTAGAAACGGGAAAATAACAAAATTTTTGGAAAATTAAACGAAAATTACTTTTCTTTGAAACTAATTAATTAATTGATTAATCTAATTAATCCATTCCACTTTCCATTTTTTCTTTTTTTTCTTAAACAAAGAGGATGTAATAATTTAAATATACTTTTAAATTTGTTCCATTCTTCAACATTTTCTTTATTCAATCTTTTCTTATTTCACACTTTGTTCACAATCTTATTCTCATCAAAATTTCTACAAAATTGTTTGTTACAAAAGATAAATGCATGGATGAAAATAAAAAATTACAAAATACACTTAAATAATCACAATACTTCTCTCTAATTAGTCTAATTAATTCACTCCATCTCTTCCTACCTGCATTGATTCAAATAAAAGGAAAGGAAATTCCTCATGATTATAACGACACTTTGATTTTTCAATTTTTTAATTTTACTTTATTTTTTAAATAATTTGGAATTTCATGAAAAAAAAAAGATAAACGATTTTCAGAAATGACATCAGATTGTTGTTTTTCTCTTCAAGTTTAACATTACTTTGAAAATTAGACAGTAAGCCAACAATTCAACAAAATTAAGACTGAAGTTATTGCAAAAAATTGATTGAATATATCATACCGTAAGTTAATGAATATAAATGAATTGTTTGACATTGTCAATTACTATTTGTACTAATTTTTTAGTATGCAAATTAAAGAGACAAAAAAAATGCGATCTGCATAATTAATTTAAGAATTTTAGACGCTATAGGAATTAAAATCAAGAATTTAAATGGAAAATTTTGAAATAAATGTAAGTGAAATTTTGATTCAAATTAAGCTATATAAGTATAAAATGCTTAACGCTTAAAAAAAATGCTTTTGCTTTTTGCTTTTTTTAAAAATGCTTTTTTTAAAATGCTTAAAAAAAAATAAATTGCCCAACGCTTTTTTTTTAGTTAACTACAATAGTGTGAAACTTTTAATGAGTTGAAGATTTTCGATTTAAAAAAAAAAAATTCTTTTAATATTTTAAGTTTCGAAGCTAACATACTTACAAACAAACAGAGTTACACAATGGGAACATAAAATTTTATTAAGTAATTCAAGGAAGCTGTATTTATTAAGATTCAAAACATTTCAAATCTAAAATAGTGGCAATAAATTTAATTTGAATATCTAACATCAGAATATTCAATATAACATAAAACAATCATGGTCCCCAGATTTGCATAATCGTATATCACGCACGTGATCGTATGCAACGATCAATTAGCACTTTGTCTCATTCGTTTTTGATAATTTTGTCTAAGGTGAATTTTCTTATGTGATTTAATACCACGTTTCGTACCCATCTGAGCAGATTTATTTAACAACTAATATCTACGTGTCTTACGCTTCTGAACATTCAAGTTTTCAGACATGTTGGTTCAGTATAATTTGGTCTTCCGTATCTTTGGTTCGACATACGTGAATTTTTAAATATGTTAAAAAAAACATAATTAACCGATGTTTAAATTTTAAATTAATCACTGTTTGCAGTTTAGCAATGACCAAAGCAGATGATGTGGATCATTTGTTTGAAGTACGCAATAATTTTTTCCTCGGTGCATACCAAAATTGCATTAATGAAGCACAAGTAAGCTTTTCGAATCTAAATTTTAAATTGTCTGGGAATACTTCCTATATCTTATGCTTATTGATATTTTTCTCGTAACAGCAGGACACAAATATAATCATTAATTATCGTAGTTTCTATCAATTCATTTTCTGGTTATGCAGTCTCAGTAGTAGTGTGCATAATAAAATTAGGCTGGCGTTTTAATCTTTGGGATATTCTGTTTAGCAGACTGTAAAACTGTCTAAGCTTTACAATTCTTACTGCATTCAAGCAGTTGGGAAAAAATTTTCGGATGAAGATAATTTTGTTGCAGTTTCTGTAAATGCGGCTAATATATATGCACCTTTTTATGCTTCACAGTTGTTGCATTAATTTCAGCATGTTTATGAAGGAAAACCTATGTTGGTAATTGAAAATTGTGTCTTATTAGCACTTACTTCATTGGTACAGTTTCTTTTCTCATCTTCTTTTTTTTAATGAAGAAGATCAATCATTTTTACAGAATTTACGAATAAAAGAGGAAAGTGATAAGCTGTTAAAGGATGTTTACATGTACAGAGCATATATCGCACAAAATAAGTCGAATTTAGTGCTAACTGAAATAGAAAAACGTTCAACCTCACCTGCTTTAAGAGCAGTTCGACGTTTCGCAGACTATGTAGCCAATCCAGATAAAAGGTAAGAGGTGATGATTTCACAAATGAGTCTTTTAGAAAAAGTTCTGAAAGACCCTCTTCCATTCCGAAGGGGTTTTTTTAGATGAAATGCAGAATATTTGGATGAATAATTAATGGCATTTTTCCTTTTTTCATTTTTTGTTTTTTGTTTCTTTTTTTTTCAAGAAGGTAAACGTTATAATTTGGAGGCTAATGGAAATCATTCGTAAACCGGAATGGATTTCGTTTTTGTTAGAGATCCAAGAAGCTTTCTAAATTTTTAGTGTCATGCACATGCTTTAGTTGTAGCATCTTAGAAAGAAATGGTGGGTGTTAACTTCTGAGAACTGTTTGGATCTCTGGGAAAGCCGTTAATCATACGCCGTAGAATACCAGAATTAAATAATAGAAACACTTTTCATCTCCTGTATTGTCATTTAAAGATTTTCCATTCATCAGACTCTCTAAAGTCACTGTAAAACTTCTCTCGCCTCAGAAGGTTAATTTTATGCCTTGTTAAAGTCAGAAAAAGACGCTTTTACGTGTCATCTTGCCTGCTAGTTGTCTATTTCTTATTTTTTAGTCGTTGGATCTTTCAGAACAGCAATAATGAAAGAATTTGAAACGGAACTTAACGAAGAGATTCCTCACGACGATACTGTTTTATTATTGGCAGCTCATATGTACATTCATGAACAGGTATGTATTTTTTCCTATCCTTACTTTTGAGGATGCTCTTAGTTTTCGTATTTTTTCCTCTGCTTACTGCAGCAGCAATTATATTAGTGATTCAGAACTTTGAAATCCGATATAATTGTGTTAATTCAGTTTATTTCGTGTTTGCAATATTGGCATATATGGTTTCTGTGAATTTTTTTCTTTTATTTTCAAAAACACGGTTGATATTTTTAAACCGAGGAATTACGACTGCAAAAAAAATTTAGCCCATATAAATTAAATTTAAAATTAAGTGGGAAAATCAGTCTTTAGACATTTCTATGTATTTAATTTCACAACGTTAGTTTTTCATAGCTTTCAGAATGTGGAAGAAGCATTACGTTTGCTGCATCAGTGTGATTCTTTGGAAAGTAAAGCATTGACTGTACAGTGTTTACTAAAGATCGATCGAGTTGATTTGGCTGTGAAGGAGATCAAAAAGATGCAAGAAATAGATGAAGATGCTACTATAACTCAGCTTGCGCTTGCCTGGGTCAATATCGCGCTTGTTAGTTCCTGTTGAATTGCGAAATTCTGATATTTTTCTCTGAACATCAACTATTGAAGCAAATTAGTTTTTTCATGAAGCATTTTGAAGCCATAATGAAGTTATCGGATCTACATCTAGCAGTTTTTCCCAAGAATTGAGATTTATGGAATGGAGTGTTGTAGCATATAGTTCCCATCAAATTTCGTTACGAAAGTACTTCCCCTTCGCTGATACTTGCGATATTCTGGAAGTTGTTATGTTTTACCCCTATGCTTCCAGGGGAAAGATAAACTGAAAGATGTATTTTATGCTTATCAAGAGATGATAGATAAATATGGTGCAACACCGCTTTTACTAGTTGCTCAGTCATCGAGCCTAATTCAACAACAAAAATACCAGGAAGCAGAAAAACTACTTCTAGTTAGTTTAAATTTGATTTCAAGAATGTATTGTGTAGTTATTCCATATCTGTGATGGACAATGTTAAATAATTAATATGGAGTGCCCGAAGTTTCCACGTTTCCTTTTGCATCAGAAACTTTTTATGACGAATGTTTTTACTGGAAGGACTTCAGCTAAGACAATATTTGGATACGTGTAAAGAAAGATATGCATGTATTTTTCAGGAAGCACTGCAAAGAGATGCCAACAATGCAGAAGCAATCATAAACTTGGTTGTTGTTAGCCAATATCTCGGAAAAGCACCAGAAGTAAGCAATTTCAACTGGAATAAAACATATTCCTGTTGAAATATGTTCTATCTATGGCAAACCATTCCCGGAATAGAACATTTGAGTTGCATTTCAGGTGACCAGTCGCTATATCAATCAGTTAAAGGAAGGCTTTCCAAATCATCAATGGACTTTGGATTACATTGCTCGTGAAAAAGCTTTTGAACGAGTTGCATCGGAAGCGGGAGTTTAAATTGATCGTACTCATTTCTTTTTTCTGTGATCATTGTTAATAATTTATTCCCAAATTTACAAGATAAATCTCTTAAAATCAATTGTTGTACGAACGCTTCATCCGGGTGGCCGAAAATATCTTCGACGGTGACGCTGCAATCAGTGCATCACGTTCAACCTTTCATTCACTGGGGAGTGTTTCTCTCTCCAGTTCAGTTTAGCCTATTTCCATTAGAATTGCAATATAAAAGTACTGTTATAAGTTCATTTGAGCTTCCTTTCATTTCCTTCATGTATTACAGAAAGTGCATTCGCCGTTCAAAGAAACTGGGGAAGAAAATGTCGAGAAATTCGAGTAAAACAGAAACAAAAAAATGTAAATATTGGAAAAGTAAGTTGGGTAAATCATCTGCGCAACACTTTCAAATATCTAGAGAATGTCGCTATACACATCAAGGAGTTCGAAAAGAACTCTGAAGTGATGTAACCCCAGGGTACTCTAAATTGTATACTGAATTGGGGGACCCTGGCTCAGTATGAGATGCGCCTGTTCTGATTTGTTCGACTTGTAGTTGAATGGTGGAACGAGTAAACGAGTACATTTTACGGGATGATGATCCGATCCTAAAATCTTTAAACTGTATTTGTCAAATTGGTATCGAGCAGTTTGTTTTGTTTCATTTGTACAGGAGTGGTTCATCTGAATTGGTTATAATGGCAGCTCCCATGCATTGTTTCATCCTAGTCTTATCTATCTGATTTCGTTTTGGGAATTGTCTCTCTCAATTCCAAAGAGAATAATCTTGTAAAGGACCATTGTGAATGCAGATTACAACAACGAAGTCATATTGATGAGAAAGAAAAGTCTTTGTTGACACATACCAGTAAGCATATCTCCAAACATGAACAATAAACATTGTTAGTGGGAGTAAACTGGGCAGCAAAAAGTAAATAACGACTTAAAAGAAGCATAGGAGTAACCAACAGTAGTAATTTGTAGCAGAAGTATTAACATTAATGATTGAGCCAAAAAGAACACATTCAGCTCGATGATAAAACTTAAGAAACGCTTACAGAGCGAGCGATACAACAGTTCCACCAACTTATGCAATAATTAAAAGTGGAATGACCCGAACTCCACCTATACATAACAATAGTATATAATCTCGAGATAAACATAAACATGTGAAATAAACAAAATAGTAAAGATGGCGTAACTTTGCAAAATAAATTTTTGAACCAAAGTGTAACATAAAAAAGATTGTTCCTGCTCAATGATAACGCGCATGCACTCAACAGACATATTAATTAAAAACTAAATATATTAAATTTAGAAGTCCAAATATTGAGCATTTCAACTTGTAAAATCAAAATACATGCACAAGCTAACATTTTAATCAAACTAAACAAGCGGTGTTAACAAGTTGAAGCCTTGTCTTAAAATCTAAAAAGAAATATTGCTAAGTAGACATGATTAGTTTGACCAAGTACCATCATAGCTCAATGATTTTTAGCAACAGTACTAACCGAGAAGTACCAAGATAATCCGGTACATATAGATTTTGAACGATGCTTAATAGATAAATACAGGGGGAGTTAGTATTATCCAGTTAACAGTACTACTTGTAAAATGTCATCAATCTTGCAGCACCCAATAAAAATAAAAAGAAAAAAAAATCCATTTTATTATACCATATGAAAACGACCTGCAGTTCACTTTTTTTATTTCGAAACAATAAAAAACGGTCTAAGCTCGTTCGACTCTATGACCAAACAAAAAATTACATTGGTATCTGATCTTGATCAGTACACTAATCAGGATACCATCTACACTGTAAGTAAGATGTAGGGACGAAACCCTCACGCGCCGATGAAACATGCCTAACTCGAGTCCAACCATCTCCTTCGTCTCTTTCTAACAGTATCATTTCATCACCTTCTTCCATAGCCATTGTCCCCTCACTGCCACCTTCAAATGCATACAATGCAGTGCAGGTGCCTAATGCTGGCATATCGCATTCTTCGTACACCTCTGATTTCTCGACTATTGTTGCTTCTAAATTATCCATTAATCATCAGCATTTAGACGAAACATAACATGACAAAATTATTTCTAGAATCTGTTTTGTCCTAATGTTATCATCCCACTTTTTAAGCGTACAACGATTAGATTACAAATTTTGATAATCTAAATTTCATTTCTCATTAATATACAATGATGTATGTAACGAAGAAGGAAACTCCCGCTCAAAAAAAAAAAAAACAATACATTTAGCAGTCAACCGCTCATTTTTCAATCATGAAATCAGTATTAGTAGGGCAAATTACTTTAATTTAGTAGTTTTTAACTTTCTTGAGAAAAATCCGAACAATTTGTATAATTAAGAATTGAGTCAGGCTGTACTATTAGAAGAAGTTATCATTCATTTTCAACAGCTCTGAAACATAAAATGAAATGGAACAAACTCTTCGCAGATTCAGGTGAAGTTGCTTTCTGATGGCTAACAATAGGAACTGAACCATCTGACGAGATCGACTCTTCTGAATAAGATGAACGATGAATACTGACTGTAGTATTCGGAGTTGATATTTGACGTGGAGAAGACTGTGAAGGCGTACTCAGTCCTGACTGACACGGAGGAGGCGGTCTAGTTGGAGGTTCCGATCTGTAAATGCTAGAGAAGATAAAAACTTTTCCTAAATGAAGCAGTAAAGACCATAAGGATGATTAAAGATAATTGTAGTAAAGTGTTCCCGAGTCCCTTAGTAAAGTACAAAAAATGAATACATATGCTAAGAATCTGTTCTTGATCTTCTACAATCATGAACGATAACTAACATTATAACTGGACTATGAACATACCCGATAATTGATATCGGTATATTCAGTTCGGTCTGAGCTTCTGATAGCATAGCCTGAAACGAACATATGAATTCCACTTGCACTTGCCTAAATATTCCTTACATGCACTAATGATCCCCCTTCCTTACGCAGAAATTTTATTCGCCTATCAGTGCACTGACATGAATAAAAAAGTCGGATGAATTAAATACTGTAGGTAGACTAACAACAAACTTAGTATTATACAAACAAACTGAAAAACGACCTTTCGAAATTGGATTAATGAAACAACTTAATACAAAAAGCAATCAGAAAATGAAAGAACATGCCTTGTACTTTGCTAGTTGCTGGTTTAGAGCTTCATATTTTTTCGTATAAACTACAATTTCCGAATCCACATCACTTGCATTACCTAATTTTGGATTGTCCCTGTAAATCAATCACACGTTCATTCAAGTTAAAACACGAAACATACGAGATAAATAAATGTGGTCATCAGGTGAGTTCAATTCACCAATTAACAACCAGGAGTTTTAGCAGCGGTCAATATTAACAAAATATTGATAAATCTTCTAATTCGAATTCGGCAAAGGAGTAAATTATAGTGAAATGGTCAAGTTACCACGTACTTATAAACTTGTAACATTTTCGCAGCCCCTTCACGACTTTGTTGATTTTTTGCAATTTCTTTTTCAATATTTTCAATTTCATGTTGCAATCTTCGACACCTTTGTTGTGGTGGATAACAACGAAAGTCAATGGTACCATCCTGAATTCAAATTCACTAACTGATGAGAACGACGTCTAAAAAAAAGATGCTGTGGGGGATCAATCAATATTACATTATGAAGATTCGATTTTCGACAATGAGGGAAATGTCCTACTCCGATATTCCTAAACGATCATTTTCTAAGCAGAGTTCAATATATTGGATTTATTGTGGATTTAATGTATGTTTCGGCTACGAAAACTGATGGGCAAATGATTTATATCGTTGATGTCTAGGATCAGACGGCTAGCTTTCGCTAGGCTCCCGATCTAGACCATCTTATTTACAAGTTATTATAATCTACCTAATTCACGAGACAATTAGTTAGTTTCTGAAGACAATTAGTTATCCAATTTAAAGTCGCCTAAACCATCATTAAAGCAACCTTTCTTGAATGATTGCTGCCTCGAAAAAGCCCCATACTAGGTTTTCGATTGATTCGCACCATCGAACCATTTTTATTGGCCTTTTCATCGTATCCACACTACTTGTACCTTCACTGGTGATAATTGCCGATGGAGCGCCGAAATCTTCAAAGGTGAACGGCTGCGGATGCGCATAGCCTGATCTACAAACAAACAACACGATGACTTGAACAAACAATATTTCACATAAGTATTTACTTAAAAATGATACAATGATAATGATTCCTTTTACAAAAGGAAATTAGAGGAAACTTGAACTAAGTGATTGAGCAAATAAGTAATGTCACCTGAGTTACACAAAATTAAATAATAATAAAGGTGTAATTCATAAGTCAACAAGACAAAAAAAAAAAAGGAAAAACTGGATAGAGGACAAGACAAATATGAAGAAAAAAGCCAGAGTATGCCAGATTTGAAAAACTTGTTTTTTGAATATGCCTTTGAAAAAGGCATATTCAAATCCTTTTGATTTGAATATGAACACTCTTAGTAGTTTTTGAAAATCAATGCGATGTGCTATTGTGAAAATTATTTTTGTTTAAGGGATGACATATATTTCTATTCCTCATAAAAGTACACCAATTCTATACTCCCATCAGTCTATATTGCTATCTGTCTTTTCCTCACTATGACTGGCAAGAGGTTGCATGCGGCGTCTATCTTTATATGTGGGTCACTTACCTGCCAAACCTGACTATTTTTATAGTTTCAATTCTTTTTTCAACACATCCATGGCCTCGAAAATTTCAAGAAAAACGAACCTGTAATGCTCAACAACACTAGCACTATCGTTCAAAGGTGATATAGATTGAGCAGCTTTTCTCATATCATCGTAGCATCGTTGGATTATATTCATCACCCTAGTTTCCACTTCGATACCTTGCAACATTAGTGATTTAGTTTCGCTAATTCGCTCCTCATCAACTGCTCTCAAACGCTGTAACATAATCAATGACCGTATCTACTACATTGAAATGCAAATCCTCACAGAAGAAAAATCAATATTAAACGGAAAGAATTCCCATTAAAAATGAATTTTAATTGAAACCTTCTGTACACCTCATTCATTAAATTGTTGCTAATGAGGACTAACCCTAAACTATTCGAACTCCTTGCCTTACTTTCCTGTGAAAAGCAAATACCTCGCTAAAATGCCTCGTCGCATGAGTAGAAAAATAAACACAATTAAGAAATAATTGCAACCAAAACGAGAAAACACTGAAGAAATCATGAGCGATTAGCAAACCTCCAGTATCTGTGGTAATAACTGATTGTAATGTTGATGCTGCTGTTGATTTGTAGCTTGGAGTGCATGTGCATAATTCTGTTTCGCATCTTCACATATTTGTGTCCTTTGCATCGCGTTATTTTTGGCTCTTTCCAGGTCTGCCCGTGACAGATCCATATTTTTTTCAGCTTTATCGTATTTTAAATGAGCCACTTCGGCCTCTTTGAATGTCTTGCTATAAAATCATTTTTTTTAAACACAACACAACAAGTCTCGTATTGAAATATTTAATTCGCCAATTCTTTCATTATAACACCTCAGCTAAATGGCCTATCCATTAATATATCAGTACTCATGCGATGTTTTCAAGATCACTACCAGATCCCACCCCTTTGCAGGATAAAGAGGAGACTATAAAGAGGAGCTATTTAATACTAACGAATCTGCCGTAGCACCCACACTTCCGAAAATAACTCAGATACCAATCATTAAAACATTTAATTTACCCATCGGTTAAACTGCTAGCATTTATTTAAAAACTTGTATGAGAATGGAAAGCAAAGAATCTACCAGTAATTCTTTTGAAATTTGAACATATTATCGATGGAAGCATTCAGGACACCATTAATAATATGTAGCTCATTCAAATGGTTTTTGCGGGCTGCGCGAAGTGCAGCACATTTTGCTAGTAAAGCCGGGTGAATATCTTTCCTCAGGCCTTCCGCAATGACCTGCAATTACTAGATGGGCTGTATATAAGAATGCACAAGTTGTAGGTCAAGAACTTTTAATTCCAAAGTATAGCCAATTTTACACAAAATATGTTCCAACCAACAAATTGTGCATCTGAACTTGAACTGAAACATGAGGATAAATTACAACAAAAAAATACAACTTTTAAAACTTCAAGGAGAAATCACATAGCGAAATAATTTCATTTGTGTGCAAATCTTGAATATTAAAGTCTTTGTATAATCGAAATAACCTCGTGTTGACCGGCAAGACTTTCAACTTCATGCAAAATGGAATGAAATGAACTGAGAAATGTGTAAGCTTTGGCTAACTCTTCATCTTCTTTTTTCTTCCCCAAATTCTTTTTCACCAAAGCTCTACAAAGATAAGAATATTTTCGGATTTGAAATATTATTATACGGTTGGTAGCATTAACATTACATACCACATATCTCATGAATTATCTATGTGTGTGTCAAGACGATCACAGAAATAAAAATGGATAAAGATGGAAATGTGGTAAATAGAACAAAAGATTTTAATTAAAAAATTCAAAATCTTACCTCAACCTAGCAGCATATTCATCCTCAATTGCAGCTCTTTCTTTTAGGAACATTCCATATTTCTCCAAACTTTCAATACCTTTTTGTGTATGAGAAGCCAAAATATCTATCTGGTCCTAAATTACGCAGTTCCTCATCAATTCGCCAGAAATTTTAAACTCTTTTTTAACGTTGGAAAAAAACGAATTCCCCAGGTCTTACCAGTGGTCACATGAACAAAACTACCATCCAGAATTACTGCTTTACTCCGAATACTATCCGTTTTTTTTTGCTTTTCCTCCCAGATATTCTTTTAAAACTTCACAAAAAATATTTTTTACCCATAAATCGGCCCAACTTGCCGCAGTGGATGTCGCCATTATCTGATACGATATTGCCCATCAAACGTTACCACCCTGCAATATAAACTTTATTGTGCAAGCAACAGAAATTGATAACAAAGTGTAAATTTCTGAGGCGTAACGGATACATGTTTGATAACATTTAATTACTGTCACTTATGATATAATGAAAAAGTCAACCATGCGAATGAGTTCCATAAATTGGAAAGACGCGAAACGGCTTCAAGCGAAATAAATTTTCCGCATGAAAGCACAAAAATTGTAGCATCTATTCGAAGTAAACTTTGGAATTTCAGAATGAGCAAGCTATTTGAAACTGCAAATTCTCTCAAAATATGGCTACATATATGCGAACTTCACGTGCAAGCACTTTCTCACACATGTATATGATTCGTAAGAAGACTATCGATAGTACTGAAACCTCTTCTTTCGACCAACTTGTCAATCTCTAAGACGACCAATCCCTTATTATCTAGATCACACAAGGGATTTAGCTGTGTTAAATTGGTTAATTACACGTACCATATATAAAGACCTGATTGCTTAATTAGTTCATATACCTAAATCACGTAAGGGTTTTACTTATCTATTCATATATATCACTGAAAATAAATGTCAAATTACATATATTATTGAAAATACCTTTCTAGTTTTCGCCTACACACGTCGTGAAAAATATAAATTCACATAAATTTTTTAAAAAAAAACAAGTTTTTTTAATAAAAGAAAGAAAACAGAAAAAACACGTAAACATAATTCACATAAATTTTTTTATCAGGTAATAAATCATGATGTAAAGGAACTTTTCTCAAATGAATATTTAGAAATAGTGAAAGTTAACCGAACTTAGTGACAAGTGCACTCCTATAACGAGCGCTATATAAACCACTCGTGTATCATAATATCAATGTGATGTAATCCAAACAATGCAAACAACCATTTTTCCTAATGGATTTTGTGAATGAATGAGCGGTAGTAGCAGTTATTTTGAGGTATGCAAGTAAAAATCTTTACTCATTTTTATTCCTTTCATCACAAACCAAAAGAAGTGAACAGATGGACAAAATAGGCAGATAGATATACAGAATTAGACGGACAAAGCGATACATGAATACACAAATAGATGGAAAATGATGAAACTGGCCAACCGAATCGATAGCCGAATGGAGACATTCGATAGCGTGCGAACAGTTTAGCAAGAAGAGGAGAAGAGGATGAGCAGGAGCGGTCTTGTCTTCTTGTTTCATCGAGGACAGGACAATCTCTCTCTTTCTCTCTCTTCTTCTCCCCATTTTTCTATGTCCCTCAAAAGAGAAGATCATTCATTCCCTTTGGACCTCAATTCATTTCACTTTCATGACTCATCCCTCTCTCTCTGTCTCTCTCTCTCCCTCCCTCCTCTCTCTCTCTCTTTCGTTCTTATTTTTTTTTATTATTCTTTCCTCATATGAGTGGATATATTTCATCTTAACAAAGGATATTACTCTTATATAATTGCTTTCTGTGTAGTAAATCAGAGAGAGAATTAAGAAGGGGAAAATAAAATGAAAGTGAGTGTCCGATACAAATCATTATATTTAATGTCCCTTATCGTATTAAAGAGGGACATATTCCTGTTATTCTTTTATTCAAATGATATTTTTATATCTCTAAGCAAAGATTTAATAATATTTCATTATTTGTGAAATTTCTCGTCTAATCTCGAATTACAACCAATCGGAGAGAAAGGGAGAGAGAGGGAGAGAAGGAGAGAAATGTATTCATTGTATCAGATGGCAAAGAATTAATATTGTTTTTATTTTCAACTGTCAAATTTCATTTCATATTTCCCATTTCGTTGCAACATTCCTGAGTAGGCAAACTTTAAGAAGGAGGAGAGAGAGAGAGGAGAGAGAGAGAGGGAAGGGATGATGTATGAGTGTTAAGAATCACATCTGATCTTCCTCAATAATCATGTGATATATTAGTTATTACTGGAAGTGGACTGATCATGATACATCGTTTATTATCAGTTGAGGTTAAAGTTTTAGAATGATTCGGTTAGAAGTATTCCCAATAGACCTATTGATTTTATCAAATTTCATTCCTAGAATTATGTACTCTGTTATTCGTTAATATTATTTTTATCAATATATCGTTGAGTTCTTTTCATCTTTTGCTTTCCCGCTTTCGATGCTTATTAAAAGTATCATATAACCTTATCTTTAGCAATATTGTAATACTTTTATCATATATTTAATATTAAAGAAAAGAAGAAAAGAAGAATGTGAGAAAGGAAAGAAGAAAATGTAATTTGAAGAAAAAAAAAGTTTGATAAAATGACACATAAAGATTAGTTTAAGATACAATAAAAAGAAAACAAAACAAAATGAAAAGAACATGAAACATTGGGAAAAAAGAAAGAAAAAGAAATAAAGGAAAATGAAAATATCGATGTCATATGAAAAGTAGTTGATATCATACAAATTCCTTTTTCTTTTTCTTCGACAAGTACATTATTTGCATGGATTTTTTTCTTTCTTTCTTTTTTTTTCCTGTCAACCACTTTGTCAACTTTTAAGCAGACAACTAAACTAACTAACCCTATTGCACTCTATTCTACCCCACTCAACACCATTCCATTCCACTTCACTCCATTTCATTCCTACATTTTGTGCCATCCCAACCATCCATCCATCCACAATCTCTCATTTTGGTGTAATGAACTTTTCAAAAAAAAAAAAACAAAGAAAAGAAATGTAAATTTTTTTTTTTTAAACATTTAACAGGAAATGAACAAAACAGAAATTGGAAATGATATATCACCAAGGAAACGAATGAAATACGTATCCAAGGTAATGTAAACATTTAAATATACGCTTAAACAAATACG